TGGAGGAGAGAATGTCTTTGGGAAGGCTGGGCCCAACACTTGGCATCACAGGATTGGGTTTAACAGGGCTCTGGTTCCTTTTATGCTTATTTTCTTTCTTCTATACTGTTATAGTAGGCATTGTCAGGTAATGGTGTTCTCCCGAGTCCTTTCTTAGTGTGAAAGCAAATGGTCAGTCTTGGGAAGACATGCTGTGTGGTATGGTTTTTGGCTCTGCAAATTCCTGGGCAGAGCAGCAGGAGAGTTTCCTCTCTGCCTGTGGCACAGTTATTCCTTGGAAACCAGGCACTAGTGTTGGGCTAGGATTTCTGGGTGAGGACTTTGCCTGCATGCTGTTTGACAACCTCTGTTCTAGGACAAGTGTATGTGAAAATAAACAAATTACATGTAGAATATACTCATACTCCACATCAATAACTTCTCCTTCGCTAGAAAGCTGACCTGCAAGGCCCTGGACATCTATTCCTGTTCTGCAGAAAGGCAACAAAGAAAGAACCTTGATGATGTTCAGCAAAGAAACTCTTCTGAATGCAACCGTAATGCAGTCCTGTCTCCTGAGTCTGTAGAAGGACAGTCCGAAATAACGGCTGAGGTGTAAACTGCTACATTGGTCTTAATAGTAAGTTAACTCTGAATCCTAGCTTCTAAATGTCAACCCAAAGTACTTCACTGCTGCTCATTCATCTTGGACTATCCTGTATGCAAGGTCATTGTGGAAGCTTGTGACTCAAAGTAAAGATTTAATCTATCCCACATGGGAAAATGTTAGATGCTTACCAATTTCAAGTCATTGAATTCTTTATCGGACACTACTTGCTCTGTTTCCAGAGCAAAACTACTTGCCACTAGGAGTTAATCTTCCACATTAAAGTTAAATATGTTGCTGGAGAGTGGGGTGGTAAATTTACCTTTCATTAGAACCTTAGTTGCAACCTTAACTCTGCTTAGATATTACTGGTGTGTCCATATTACACAGCACATGTGCAAGTCCTCTTTTTTTCTAGTACCAGTTTCTTGGCCATTGGGGGAACCTGTAACTAGAGTTGGTAGGAAAAGAGAATTTCTGTTCCATAAAAGATTCCAACATTTTTTATTTTTTGTTCCAAATTGAAACGAAAAGCTGAAATATCCCAGGGAACAAATTCCAAAAAAAAATTCAGTTTAGGACTATCAGATGGTTTGATAGGGTAAAAATGCTTTGTTTCAGTAATGCCAATGCATAATATAAAATGTTAAATATAATATCCAATATTTTAATACAACAAAGATGACTTGTTGCTATTTTCCAGTCAACTCTTGTCAACTGACTCATTCCCTTGAAATATTTCAGTTTAGACAAAACTGCATTTTCCAACAGGATTATTCCATTGGAAACTTTGACCAACTCTACTCATATCCCTTCTACCCATGAGGTTAACATCAGTGTTAGTAAATGGTACTGATTGACTCTGTGGAGCCTTTAACATCTCTGAAGTGAGAGAGTCAATGGCTTTCAATGAGACTTTATTTTAGTATCTCAGGCCAAACTATTGCTCAGTGTCATTGATGGAGTTCAAGAAAGACCCAAAGAAAAGGAGGCATAGGCAAGGGAGAAGGAATGACTCCTTCTCAGACTGGAAAAGAGCTGTTGATCAAAATGCAGATACCAGGAGAGACCTTTCTTAGCAGCAGCAGGATTATGAGAAGGGAGAGAGGTCAGTGTGAGATGAGTGGAAGGAATAGAACTTCTGAGGCTGGCTTGCAACAAATCTGAGCATTTTTAAAAAAGGAGGAGGGAATCTTGACTCAGGATCCTGGAATACTGAAATTTGAGTGTCATGGGATCACCTCTCTTTATATGCAATAAGGTGGCTGGCAGGATTCTACATACTAGGGATTGGAGAGCTGGGCTATAGAGAAAGCAGTGGCGAAAGGCAAGAGGGAACTGACAGAGTGCTGACACTAATGACAGAAAGCAGTCTTGCAGAGGTGGGAGGAAGAGAGATCGTAATCCAGCATTATGGTTAGCACCAGCTTAGAGTACTGAGTTAAGGCAGTATGGAGATGGAGGCAATAACTGTGATGCACTTCCCCAGAATGAGAGGGGAATACCAGCTTACTAAACACCATCAGCTGGTGAGTAGGATTCAATGGACCTTCTTTAATTCCACTTTCATGGCCTTTAGCTCACTTGGATTCCACACATGCCCAGGTCACATTCCTTTCCTTTCCGATTGGCTTTTGGTTGCAATGCATGCAAATCACAGAGGAGGAAAGGCCTCCCCTTCTTAAAAGGGGAAGATCAGGAGTGGCCAGAGTTAGTCAAGACTGAGCAACATTAAAGCAGTTGTGTTTCCAAGGGGTCTTCTAGCGTGGGACTGGCTGATTCTTCATGGAGACAAGTGAGTAAGGAGGCAGATTTGGGTCAAGTAATTTATAAGTGAGGAAATGGTGGAACTGAGGCAGATGTACTTTATGCAAAGGGTAATAACCGACAGTTAATGGGAGCATGGTGGCAATAGGAATGCAGGAGTCCAAGAATTCCTTCTGGAGCAGGTGACTAAGATCTTGGGATGGGTCCTCTTTAACTCTCTAGTTGTGGGGCAAAGTTTGCTTTCCCTGCTTGCTGAACTTCTTCTCCTAGAGCCAAACATCTCCTGGGCAAGCAGACACATAGGAATTGCTAATTCCATGCACTTCCTGATTCCCCTGATTGCCCATGAAGAACAGGGTTAGATGTTTAGTGTCCAGAAAAGAAAGGTGAGGAGAGTGATGTTTGGTGGCTTAAATGAGCGGCCAGTTCTGTTAATGAACTACCACCTGTCAACACACGAGGGAGCTCTCACCGCTAGAAAGGAAAATGGTGCACTGCACGGGACTGAAGGGCATAGAGGTCTGTGGTTCCCATGCAGAATATGAGGTGAGCAAATGCGTACTCAAGAATTTAGCTGTGAATTGTGCGAGAGTAGGGGAGTGAATGTCGTAGTGTTCATGTACAAACTGCTCACTATTTGCTCTTCCTTGAGCCAGGATTATTCATTTGGAACAAAAACATATAACATTGAGCACCTAATTAATTGCTAGCATAATCCCTCCCTAGTAGAGTTCCACCCTGGAGGGCTAGGTGTCTTTCATCCTAAGGGGCTTTACAAACTGGAAGTGACTTCTGTCAGCTTCTAAATCTGCTTCTGAAACGCAGCCACTGTGGAGCTGAAATGGGACAGATGGTGCAGTACTGCACAAGAGTTTAGGACTGGAAGGGAAGGAGAGTCTTGTGTCTGTTTAAAAGACATGGGGCCATTTAGGCAGATACTAAGTCAAATTCAGGCCTAGTGTGAATGAGTGTGTGCAGTGGCTTTGAGCTGTTTACTGTTAATCACGGGTCTGATGTGGCTGTTCTGTTCTTTCCGGCCTTGTCTTGGGGTCACTGCTCTTCGTAAACTTCTGCTGACTGAAATGATGACATTGGTAGACAGGCCAAGTGCACCGGCATCTGAAGGACAAATTCCCCTCTATCCCCACAAGCAGGCCTGCTGCTTGCTGACTTCTTACCCTTACTTTCCTCATACAGCCATAGTGAGCCTGAATATTCAAGGCATTCATCCTCTCCTGAGGCAAACCTGTAGGCCGGTGAGCGAGAACTCTCCTTATTTGCAGAGAAACGTGCGCCCTATTTATATTCCCACCTTCCTTTCAGCTGCCAAAACCTTCCCATCCAAACCTGTGACCCTATCCCTCCTTATCCTCATGACAGAGGTCACTCTGATACAGGGCGCTGGAACAATTTGTATAGTGGGGGTGCTGAGAACCATTAAAGCAAACTGTAAACCTTGGATATAATGGAAACCATTTCAAGCCAGGGGGTGCAGCACCCTCTGCACCACTAGTTCCAGCACCTATGCTCTGAGAATCTGGTCAGATGGGGGAATCAGTGTTTCCATTGGAAATAAAATCCAAAGCAAAACTTTCTGTACACACGCAATGCCACTGCTACTCTTCCAGGCACAGCATCACAATGAAAGGGATGAGTACTGGGGTTTGTCTACCTAAAACTTACTAGTTAAAAATAAAGGGGTGATTTAAACCAGCTTAGTTAAACCAGTGCAGACCGCTGTACGAACCCTCTTATTTTGGGCGAAGAGTGGCTTATATTGGTTTTGTTTGAACGGACCCCTCATTGACTTAAATTAAGGCCCTATCTACACTTAAAACTTGTTGGTCAGAGGGTTGAAAAAAATCAAACCCAAATCCACTCCCCTCTGTGACCTAGCTGACAAAACCCCCAGTGTAATGCAGCTAGGCTGGCATAAGAGGGTTCTGCTGGTTGCCATAGCTCACACTGTTCTGGGAGGTGGTGTTCCTAGACCCACTGGATTCCCTCTTCTGTTGGTGTATGTGTGCCTACATGGTAGGGCTATGCTCGCAGAGATGTATGGTAGATATAGCCTATAGGTCAAAGTGAAATAGAGATTAATTCAAACAAAAGCAGAATAAGCCACTCTTAACCCAGAACAAGAGGATCTGAACAGGGGCATGTGCTGGTTTAACTAACCTGGCTTAAAGTGCCACCTTGAATTAAATGGATGCATTAGGCTGTTTCGTTTCAAGTATGCGTGGGCACCCGTTTTCGGAAGAGGGCCCCCTGTGTGAAATAAGTGCCCACACAGATGAGAACTGCACCACCTAGGGTGGGAATTTAAACCAGCTGTGTCCCCTTGGTTCCCCTCACTGTACAGACAAGGTCTCAGGAACATCGCTGATGGCAAAGGCTGGGATCTGCCCACTTTGGGGAAGTGAGGAAGGGAGCCCTGGGGGCCCAGCCCGGCTGCGATACCAGGGTAGTGTCAGGCCCGGCTCTGTTGGTTCGCCAGGGGCAGTTTGAGGCTCCGTGCTGCGGAAGGAGGCAGGGAGGAGCGGCGGCCCTGCCTGCAGGGAGTGCGCAGGGGGCCGGACGGGGCTGGGAGCGGGGCACTGAGGCAGCGAGTGGAGCGTGGCTGGCTGGGGGTGGGAGCGTTAGGGGGCTGGCGGGGTGGGCCGGCAAAGGAGCCGGTAGTGGCGCTCTCCAGTGTAGGCGCAGAGCTCAGCGGCCGCGCTCGCAGGGAAGGAGCCGGCGCCCAGGCGGTTCTGCCCCGGAGGGGACCGCGGCTGCAGCCGGCCTCGGGCAAGGCGGGGCGGGCGCAGCGAGGGGAGGGCGGCAGCCCCCGGCGCTGCCTCGCGGCGGAAGTGGCCAGAGGAGGAAATTCCCACTCGGCTGCCGGCTACAGCCAGTATCCCGCGGCGGCAGCTCTCCAGCGCCCGGGCCAGGAGCCGCTGCCGGGGATGTGAAGGCGCCCAACCCCCGGATCATGGCCAGCCCAGGTAGGTTCCCCGCACGGCCACCCCTGCGGCTCGGATCCCAGGAGAGCCCCACCGGGCGCTGCGCCCCCAGCCCGGACCATGCCGGGGTCCCTCCCCGGGCGCGCTCGCCTCTCGCCCCCCCGCGTCCGCGGCCTCCCCTGCCCCCCGCTCGGGGGCGCTCGCTGCGCAGAGGGAGCCACCTGTCACTGCCCGGGCTTTCTAAGACCGCCGCCCCCCACGTGCCCGCTAGCGGGAAAGCGGGGGGCGATGGCTGTGTAGGTTCCCCGCGATGAGACCCTTGTGTGAGCGCTGGACATCCCAGTCTCGAGAGAATAGCTGGCTGCGCCCGGACTGGCCGATGCACCTGCTGCCTTCCGGCCAGCCTCTGTGCCCCAGGGAACTGCTGCTTGCAAGCCAGTGCCAGTGGCTGATTCATCCCATGGCTCTTCCCCGCTTGGCCACCAGTGCTCTTCAAAGTGGGCCCCCTGGCCACAGGACCCAGCTGGCAATGCTGTTGGAGTCCGAGGCCATGGGTTAGGTCATGCAGGGTGAGTGAACGCCATCTCTGCACCCAAAAGGTCCACTGGCTAGCACTCAGCCCTTGCCTGTTGTCTAGTTGCCCCCTGACCGCTGTGGATTGACCGTGGGACTCGCCACCTGGGATGCTGTGAAGGCCAAAACTATAACTGGGTTCAAGAAAGAATGAGATAAGTTCACGGAGGATGGGTCCATCAGTGGCTGTTAGCCAACACGGTCAGGGATGCAACCCCATGCTCTGGGTGCCCCTAATACTCTGACTGCCAGAAGCTGGGACTGGGTGACAGGGGAAGGATTGAAATTGCCTTGTTCTGTTCATGCTCTCGGAAGCATCTGGCATGTGCCATGAGGCTGGATAGACCATTGGTCTGACCCAGTATAGCCATGCTTATGTTAAGCAGTCTCATTGCATGCCACAGTTAATGCTATCCAAAGGGAAGGAATGGAAGGTGCAATTCATGTGGGGCACCGCTGGGAACAGCACCTATTGGATATTGCCTTGGGGAAGAAACCTAACTGTAACTCTTTCTCAGGCTACGTCTTCACTTCCAAAAAGTTTGCACAGCAAGATAAGTGCAGGTTATTAGCTAGGTCACTGTAATCCTGCCTCCTTTTCCCCAGCCTTTTCGAGCATGTCTACACTGCACACTAAGCCCAGACTCTTACTCAGGTTTGAGCCCAAGCTCCCTTTTCATCCACATACAAATCAGTCTGACTCGGGTCGGCTGGCACTCAGGACCCGGGTCCAAGGACCCTGCTAGGGGGTGGGTCAGAGCCCGAGTCCTGCTCAGACGCATGTCCAAATCCTGTTATTTTGTAGTGTGGATGCAGCTCAAGCCACAGCCCTGAAACATCCATGCAGTGCAGCATGGATGTGTTAGCATGGCTGTGAGGCTCAAGCCCGGCAATTGTAAGCCCAGGTTTACATTCAGTGTGAAACATCAAGTCCACAAGCCTGGGTCTGTGGTTACAATTGAGTGTAGAGAACCTGCAGTGAAGACCTACCCTTAGGCTATAACTATGCTGAAGTTACAGGTTGCAGTGCAGGTAGGCAGACCTGTACTAGCTTTAATCTTGCTAGCACTGCTAAAAATTGCATGCAGACATGGCAGTATGGACCCCAGCAGGGGCTAGCAATGTGAGTACTTACCCAGGGTTCCAGGCAAGCTTCTACAGGTTGCTCTGAAGCCTGTTCTGCCAGACCTGCTATTTTAGCTGTGCTACCTAGATTAAAGCTAGTGCTGTGTGAGCATGCCTATCCTGCCTCTGACTGCAGTGTAGACATACCCTAGGGCCTACGCGGGGTTCATGTGTATCACCCAGAATGAGTTAATTCATATTGATATGGGTAAGATGGAATGGTACCTGTGGTGCAGTGTTTGTTTCCTCCACAGCATTACATGGGGGAGTGCAGTGTGTTGGGGGCACACCCCGTTCTTCCCTGTGGAATTGAGCAGGAGGGTTCCACCCCATAACCCATGGGGGGGTCCTCAGGATCTATCTTGCAACACTCATAGATGGCCCAGGCCTTCACAAAGCTCCCTGGGCTCCTCCATGGCAGCCTGCTTCCCTCAGGCTGATGTCTTGGGGCTATGCAATTTTTGCTAGCAGAAGCAATATTCACCCTGCTACATCCCACTCTGAATATGGCCGGTGGGGAGAGGAGAGGTGCATAGTGCTGACTCAACGCTCCTAACGTCTGGGCATACTTCAAAGTGGAAAATCACCCAGGCAACACATCCATCCCCTTGCTTTGTCTCCCACAGTGCCCAGCCACATGGCAGGGTCTTCCATGGTTTCTTGATAAGCTTTCAGTACCCATTATATGCCACTCTACTCCCATCCACGTGGCTGCCTTGTCTGTCATGATCCTCTGCACCAAACAGCTCAAGGTAGCCTATAACCTATCATAGGCTTTGGTAGAAGAAAACTGATATCTCTCTCGATAAGAAGTCCATGGCTAAAATTTAATGTCATTGGCGTAGGGCCTTTGACTCCAATGGGAACAGGATCTGGTCTTTGTTGTGTAAGCCTTCATTGCTGGCACTGAATGTGCAAGTTCCCCTTATTGCATTTACAGGGGAAATTACGTGTTTGCGCTTTTTCTCTTTCTCTAAAAGGGGAAAAAACGTGCCATCTCAATGGTGTGAAGCAACTTTAGCGTTTCACTGATGCATGTCTCCTTGTGATGTAAAAATAATTCAGACTGAAGTCTCAAGGGACAGGCAGGCAGATACCAAAATTTACTTTCTCTTCATTAAACAAAATCTTGTTCGAAGTGGCAAGCAGAACTGCATTAGGGTCACACACTATCTAATGCAAATCTTGTGTTCTTATCACTGAGAGATGATCTTGCTCACAAGGTTTTTATCTGGTTATTTTTTCAGCTATTTCCCCTTATTTTGCTTGTGACACTTTAAATAAAGTGCTGGTTTCCGGGTGCAGTAAACCTGAGAGCCTTTGATAACATGTTAGTTAATAATTATTGAGGCGATTAGGTTGTTGCTTTGTTACACAGTTCAGCTAGAGAATGCATGCTTAGGATTCCTGTATAACTTGCATGCATGAAGGATTCCTGTATAACTTAAACCCAATAGGCCTGGGAGGTGCTGAGCACCTTAATTCCCATTGACTCACTGGGAGATGAGGGTAGTCAGCATCTCTTGGAAATGCTCTTACTCTGAAGGATTCGGACCTATTCATATGAATGTAGTCTTTATATAATATATGCTGTGACTTCCCTTGAAGTTACTGGCTATTCTCTTCAACAGGAGGAAAATTGGATCCTCTATCAAATACCAATATTTGATTCCCTGGAAAATATAATGGTTTTATTTATGCTTTCCATCCAGACAGATCCCAGAGCATGTCATCGACTGATAGTACATATGATGGGCCAAATGCAGCCATTGCTCTAGCTCCACTGAAATTAGTCAACTTATAGCATGGGTGAATTTGAGGAGTACTCTCTCCTAGCCTTTGTTTAGACTGAGCTCCTTGAGGCAGTGACTCTATGTCTACACTCCAAACGAAGGTGTGATTGGAGCAGGGGTCGGCATACCCATGCCAGCTTTGATCTAGCCAGCACGGGTAACAATAGCAATTAAGACGCGGCAGCACAGACCCTGGTGCGGACACTGTATACGTACCTAGAGTCCCCGGTCGGCTTGAAAAGAGGCAGTTCGCCCGTGCTGCCACGTCCTCACTACCACTCTTATCCATGCCAGCTAGATTAAAGCTAGTGGGGGTTTGCGTATGCACGTTTCAATCACACCTTCATTTGCAGTGTAGACATATTCTGCCTCTGAACAGTGCCTAATACAATGGGTCTCCAATCTCAGTAGGAGCTTTCAGGCTAATTTATAATCTTATCATGCAAAATGGAATGATGTTGCAATGCAGCTTGTTTTATAGGGTAGACATTAAAGGGGGTAACTTCAGCTCAAATTTGGTGCAAAGCAACCTTTGACACGTGGACATCTTTCCATGAAATGAAAATAATCTTAGAAAACTAATATGCTCCTGCAGTGATTGCAATGCTGCTGAACATGGGGTTGGAGCCATCAGAGTGTCTTGTTATAAAGTAGAAGAAAACAGCCTTTCGTTCTCTAAGTTGAGCAATGCAGAAATTAAACAGTACCAGAAGCATAAACAAGACTTCAAAGTTCTTTAATTTTATCATAATCTAAGGTAAGGAAATGAGTTTGTGCAAAATGAGAATTAAAAATATTTACTGTCTACTCTCTTTTTACATCATGCAAACTAACCTGTGGAACTCACTGCCAACACATATAACTGAGGATAGGAACTTACTAGGAGAAAAGAGGTAGATCTGTAACTGTGGATTTCCTTATTCAGGCACAGCTGATAATTGTTGCCGTGTGCCTGGAAGTATGAGGGTTTATATTCCTTGAGCGTTTACTTTAACAGACGTTGGGCGTGTTAGGGAGACACTCACCTTATGATCAGGTTATGCCATAACTTCCCATTCCTTGCACTTTTCTCTGGCACTGGCTGGTGCTTTTCAATGGCTATTAGCTAGGATGGGCAGGGATGGTGTCCCTAACCTCTGTTTGCCAGAAGCTGGGAATGAGCGACAAGGAATGGATCACTTGATGATTACCTGTTCTGTTCATTCCCTCTGGGGCACTGTCAGAAGACAGGATACTGGGCTAGATGGACCTTTGGTCTGCCCCAGTGTGGCTGTTCTTATGTTCTTATGTGCTTGATGCTTCAGAATCAGGTACTGGGCCAAACCGACACAGGTCGGATCCAGTGTAGTAAGTTCTGTGTTCTCCCACTGGCAAGAAGGGGAAGTGAGTAAAGAGTAGGCGTGGTTGCTGCTGACGTCTTAACTGACTATTTCTAGACTTATGCTTGAGGTTTAGTTTTCTTTAAAATAGTCAAAACTCCTGACTCTCAGACTTAAGAATATCTGTATAAACAGAGTGCTAAAGCATTTGATTATAACAAGGGGATTTCCTTGGTTCTGTTTCTCTGTGGACCAACACTCACATGTTCAACACTCCATCCCACTGACTCTAAACAAGCTAACGTTTTGCAGCCTTGGTTCAGAGGTGGAGCGCTTGTGGAATCCATACATTCGTTACCCTAGCACAGGTCTGTTAGGGGGAAAGAGAGGCTGACTAGGAGAATTATGGCTGTGGAGGGCACAGTTGACATGTACTCACCAACAGGTGTCATGTGCCTCCCTGCATAGCTGCTCACCACAGTGCAGTGGTCACAGGGCTCTGGCTATGCCCCCTCTGTAGAGGTAAATGGTACTAATAGAGCTAGTAGCCTGGATGTACTGGCTATCAAATTATGGCTGCATCTTGTGCACAAAGTGCTAGAGGAAGGAGGCTCCCTGTTCCCTTGTGTCCTTGCACTGATGTGGCCTCAAAATGCTCACACAACTTAAAATTCACAGGAAGGTTTTCCAGTGTTTCCTAAAGACAGTCAGATTCTGGTTTTGCTCATCTGGGAGTTTGTTCCAAAGTAGGCTGACCAAACAGCAAGTATGAAAAATCGGGACAGAGGGCGGGGGGTAATAGGCGCCTATATAAGACAAAGCCCCAAATATCGGGACTGTCCCTATAAAATCGGGACATCTGGTCACCCTATTCCAAAGTTAGATCCTATCAACTAAGAATGTCCCCAGCTCTCATATGCTTTGGGCTGGGCTTTGGGATTTGCATCTTCCCAGAGAAATACAGCTGTCCTAGTAGTTCATTTATAACTCTGGCTTCATTGTAGCTGGGGCATGATCCATTAATTGTTGGAGTCTAATAGCTGCTGCTTTGGCCACTGCTAGAGCCTTGTCTGCAGACTAAGGAAACCATCACTGCATTGGTTACACTTGGGTCACACTGTCACGCCTCATTTCTCAGCCATAAGGGTTAGAATCAACTTCAATTTAGAAGAAAAATAATGGTTTGTCTGTCATTGCATGACTGGGACCCACAGACCCAGGCACTTGTCTGCCTTAATTCAGCCCTCTGCACAAGCCACGATGAAGGCCCTGGATACTTTGGCTAGCTGAACCTAATTTCTCTTGCAAGGCTCCTGGGTTCAGCAGTGCAATGGAATCTTTTGAGGCTGCTTAATTTTGATTTGATATTAATGAATTAAATATGGACATTTAACTTGTGCAGTCACCTGTCTTGATAAATCCACACTTACACTCAGGGCCGGCTCTGGCTTTTTTGCCTCCCCAGGCAAAAAAGCCTCCTGCCGCCCCCCTGCCATTCGCCCCCCGGTGGGGAGCGCAGCAGGGGAGGGTGCCGAGCCCAGCCGCGGCCCCGCTCTCCCCGACCGGCCGGAGCGCCAGGAGGAGGGTGGAGAGCCCAGCCGCGGCCCCGCTCTCCCTGACCAGCCAGAGTGCCGGGGGGAGGGCAGAGTGCCCGGCCGGGGCCCTGCTCTCCCCGGCCGGCCGGAGCACTGCGGGAGGGCGGCCCCGCTCTCCCCCGCCGGCCGGAGCGCCGTGGGGAGGGCGTTGAGCCCGGCCGCGGCCCTGCTCTCCCCAGGTGAGCGCCGCCCCCCTCCAGGTGCCACTCCAAGCACATGCTTGGAGGGCTGGTGCCTGGAGCCGGCCCTGCTTACGCTGTCCCCAGATTACCAGAAGTTTTGCTATACTAAACCAGAGATTGACACCTATTTCTCTTATAAAAGCTTTTTTATTTTTTCTGATGGGGTTGGGTGCACTGGGGGTTTGGACACATTGAAAGGCAGGTTGGGAGCAAAGGAAAGGCAGATTAGGAGAAACATCCAGCTAAAATGAACAGCACTGAAATTAACAATGAAAACTGAACTGTAATCTTCAGGTTTTAGAGTCAATGCCCCATTTTGGTGAATGGGGAAGTTCATACTTTAAGGATCTCTTTAGACGTGGGGATATAACACTGCATCAGTTCACTTTGGCTCACCCTTCAAGGCTTTCCTCACAGCCAGAAGTGCTTATATTCTAGAGCATGAGTATGAAACAAATAGTGGAGAGGCATGGGCTCTCCTGGAATAGGAGGCTCTGGCTGTAATACTGACAGATGCTTTGGTGCTGCCAGAAGGCTGAGTGTTTGCTATGTTGATTCCTTCTCTCCAAGCACAATCTACTAAACTTCAGGCAAAAAGCTTCCTTCGTAGAAGTTAAAGGAGAGGAGGTCAAAACTGGGCTTGCAGAGGAGAGGATCTGAAGCTTGAACTATGGGGTTGCTGTTGTGGCTCCATACTGTAGGCTCTGGGGGACTGAGCTGACTCATTTCAGCTACACACACGCACATGCCGCCCAGGCAGTTTGCATGGCGCTAAGAAGCGAACAAACGCCTGACCCCCATGAAGACCATGGTAGCTTCCCGTAAGTCTTGAGGCACCTTGTCTAAATAAAGATGTTTCTTTTTCTAGGTGTGCTATATTTAGCGCCGACTCCTTCTCCTGAGCATTTAACTTATAGGACACACTTACAAATCTGCAAAGTCCCTGTCATCAATTTGAATTCAGTTTTCACCTTAGGGGGACTTTTTTTTCCCATTAGACTCTTTAACTCCCCCCTCCTTTCTTCCCTCCCACCCCCACACAATCTGAAAATTTCCACCTGTGACTTGTCTCACTCAAAACAGGGCCGGAAATCCCCCTCTCCCCTGCAAGGGTGGCTCGAGAGAATGGAAGAGCTACTACTCGGATTTTAGAACAGGAAATGCAAGTACAAGTTTAGCTATCCTTACAGCTGTTCTGTGAATGCAAATGCCACTTGTTCATTCTCTCTGCATCTGCTCTCCTAATGTCCCATCAGGTTCTGCTTGTTTCACAAATTAGAAGACACGAGAATTTGCTTCTCTGCTCCAAAACTGAGGTAAGATTCTGGCTGCAGAACTTAATACTTCTCTCTGCTTTCACCTTGCATCTGCACAGGAGCCCCTGGGGGATGCGACGTGCTGATTGTGTATGCCAGGGATGCCAGTGAATGGTGTCAGTACCTTCAGAACCTCTTCTTCTCGTGCCGGCAAGTCCGAAAGCAGCGGGTTCTGAGCTACGAAGTGGAGTACGGGGCTGCCATTCCCTGGGAGGAGTTTGACCGATTCAGCAGCAGCCGATGCATCATTGTGTTGCTGTCTGCCGAGCTGGTGCAGAACTTTTACCTCTCTGATGTCCTTGGGAGCCTGCAGGAAGCTTTGAGGCCCCCGCACAAAGTGGTCAAGCTGTTCTGCGGAGTGGAGGATTGTGATGACTATTTAGGGTTTTTCAAGGACTGGGCCCAGTGGAAAGAGCTCACCTATGATGATGAGCCAGATGCCTACATTGCAACAGTCAAGAAGGCTATTTCAGAAGGTAAGGTGGCAGGCTGGGATTCATGGCTCTTTGGTCAGGGGAAGCTCTTTGGAGCTGTTCACATATTCTTCTGAAATATAAAAATAAAGCCTGGCCTATAATCCTCTGTAAATTCGGGAGCTCTCCAGACCCATTTTCCTCCACCCCACCCACCAGCTCCATGTCAACAAGCTGCAAAGCATTTGGGAATTTGGATGGCTTGTTAGCGGTTAATATTTGAGGGTTGCCTGTGTAATGGGATGTGCTGTCGAATGTTTGGGAAGCTAGCGTGTCTTCAGAGCTCTGTCCATTCTTCACTGCTGTGATACTGACCTAGGCTCATAAAAAATAGGAGGCTGTTCTGCTAGGTTAGCTTGTCCCCACTACAGGAGCCAATGTGTGATTGTCCTCTACAGCAGTGGTGCCCAACCTTATTACATAGGAGGGCCACATAAACCTAAGTACGATCTTGTGTGGGCCAAACAGATTCTATATATTTTAATAAGATGTAAAGTCACCTGTATTGATTTATATTTTAAGTTCAGCTTTTTTTGTATGTATTTAGATAGGTTGTTTCTGTGTACAGTGTTGTCTGTTTACACACTTATGTAAACTAAAATGATGCAATCGTGCCAACAAAAAGTTAATGAATCGGCCGTTAGTATATTGTGTTGAAGCAGGCCAGGGGCCTTATGAGATGGCCCGTGGGCTGTAGGTTGGGCACCCCTGCTCTACAGTATATTGTCCAGTACTGTCCTTTAAATCATAGGTGCAACAGCATTGGAAAATCTGGACAATAGAGAAGACACCAGCACTTGCTACAAATCCACTGCAGGTGTATTTAGCATAGTCATAGCAGTTCAAAATAGCAACCTTGATGCCTCTGGCACTATGTTGAGCCAAGCAGTCTGAAATGACCAACCCCCCTTTCAGTTCACAAGAGCTAGAGATTCTTTAAGTGCAGAATTGGTAATGGACTCTAAACTAGAGAGGCCTGAGCCACAAAGTTCTGACTAGGTCTAAACTTCCCCAAATTTTGGGGATCTTGATAGGAGAGAGCCCTGAACAAGTTTTTATGGACCCAAATCATAGAAACTGTTGTGGGCTTTTGTGGTCAGACTACGCCCTAAAGTCAAGGACAGTGCCACATGGTGGCCAACTCAGGCCCAGTGTTACAAGGTGCTAAACACCCTTCTCTCCCAGTAATCTCCATGGCTATTGAGCGTCATTGGCACATCATAGGATCGTAGGGCTTATCTACACTAAAAAGTTCTGTCTCTTTGATTATAGTGGTTAAAGTTATAATTGAAGCAGTACAACCTCCTAGTGTAGACAGTGATACTAGTGTACAGGTATCTTACACTGGTATAACTGTTCCCATACAGCAAGGAGAGTGACTATACCAGTAAGTCATCTTTACACAGGTATAACCATAGCTAAAGCCATAGTCATAGACTGCGTTCCTCAGACCACTGCTCAGGCCACAGTGGAGTGCACACACAAGCCCAGTTTTGAACCCTCTGTTGAAATCCACAGAAATCTCTTTGGATTCAAAATTGATAGACTAGATATGGGGCCAAGGTAGAAGTTGTTCTTCTAAACTTGATGTGAATGGGGTCAAAGGCAGCTAAATTATTGCACCCTGAAATTAGAGATGTTACCAATTGTTTTGCCATTCTGCATCAAGAAAAAGCAGGAGACAGAATTTAGTGTAGCGCTTTCCCCTGGCTGAGTGCAGCACCAATATTTAGCTGATGAAATTGATTTCCAAAGTCACTATCTCTGTGGGTTTTGGACTGTAGGTACAGATTATTAGCTCCAGCAATCTTACATTAGCATGTCAGAGCTGGAGAACAATGACCTCTGAATGGGGGCAGGCAGGAGCCTCTAGATTCTGTTACGCAGAGATTGATCTCAAGGTGCAACCTGACTGATGAGGCGGATTGTTTATGGGGGGTGAAGGGGACAATATTAATTACAAGGCCCGTACGGGGACCAATAGCTCTCCAAAGACTTGCTGGGGTTTCTCCTGTCCTGCAAATGTACAGAAGCAAACAGGAAGGGGAAGGAGCTACTCCTACTTATCTCTTCTTCCTTCCAAGTGCCCAGTTCTCCTCATTCTTCCCCCAGACCCTTTGGCCCAGCATTTTGAGGGAGTGGAAAGGTGACGGGGGAAGAGGTGGCTTCTGTAGCAGACAAACCTGTGATTCTTAGCAGTGGGACTCCCTCTTGTCAAATCATAGAAGATTAGGGTTGGAAGAGACCTCAGAAGATCATCTAGTCCAACCCCCTGCTCAAAGCAGGACCATGCAAGCGCTCTTTTTTAATCCCCTTGGACATACAGCATATAGATGGAGACACCCAAAGGGAGAACAGGAGGCCAACATCCTCATCTGAGGCATCTGCCTTCTCCTCCTCACACCCTGGAGTTGTCTCACTTTGGACAGTAGCCAGGCATTAAGTCTTGGGAGTGGGGCATAAGGACCCTAGGCTTGGGGCGAGGGTGCTAAGGGGAAGTGCGGGCTGTGGGTGCAAAGAGGGATGTGGGGATGGGGAGAAGCAGATGTGCTGAGTGGGTTGGGGCGGATCCGCTCACCCCGGTGGAGCCCTACTCCCATGTGCCTCCCAAGGTCATTGGGAGACAGGCTCCTATCACCAGGAGCATAGGAAGTGTGCTGTAGTGAGGCTGCCCTCCTGCAGCCCTGAGGAAGAGGGAAGCCCACAGCCTCTTCCGCACTCCTTGGTCTCACATTATAGCAGCTATAAAAACCCCAGGGAATGCTCACTAGCAATCAAGGTGGAATTAAGGTTAAAGATGCTTGAATCAATCAAGTGCAAACTACAGATTTTAACCTTGTGGAGAAGGTTTTTAATACCCCTGTTTGCTGGAAACCATTCAGGTTATGGTTCTCCAAATAAGGGACTCACCCACTGGAACTGTGTCCCAGAGACACCAACCTCAGTGCATGCAGAGCATTGAAAGTGTGTGCCAACGGCCTTGTCTCATACAACGCGGGAGTCTCACTACCCTAACTCTCGTTCTCCATGCAAGCACTCTAGTGTAATCATCTGGGCACATATAGGACACATGTGGAGACATGCTAGCTCTATCTAATTAGTTGGATACCTGGCTGGCACAGGGAATCGGGGATGATCTTGCAAGGTACCGAGAACCTGCTGGAAAATGCCAAATGCCCTTGACACCTTTCAGGACTAGCCTCTATGATGAAGTAAAGGATTCCTTTCTGTATTAAGCAACAGAGGGTCCTGTGGCACCTTTGAGACTAACAGAAGTACTGGGAGCATAAGCTTTCGTGGGTAAGAACCTCACTTCTTCAGATGCAAGTAATGGAAATCTCTAGAGTCTTTTATATATCAATTTGCATTTTGTGAGTTTAGTTCAATCAG